TTATTAAAATTTTAGTGAATTGTATTTTATGCTTGGCGTCGAACCAACTAAATCCGTCCGTAATCGTCACTGTATGACTATTGCTAGCCATGCACAAATATGGCAATTGTCGGTTTGATTCTTTCCACAGTAACATTATATCTCCAATGAAAATGGGCGGCCATATTCTCTATGTTTTGATTTTGTGACATAGTACACTATTATATATCTACTATCAACATGATAAGGTTAGATCAACTTTTGGTTTATTCTACTGAATTTCATCCAAGTTATATTTACGTATAATTAGTTCAAGTTAACCATTCAAATGCTACTAAACGAAAAAAAAAGTCTATTGAGTGTCGAAGAAGTAAAATAATTGAATAGTAGTAGTAGTAATTCCTAAGGTTCTTCCTTATGGTGTGCATTCGAGGTCCTGCCTAGTCGTCTATGTTGCAATAGCCCCAGTGTCTTCTTTGTTTCTTCCCTCTTATGCGTTGTATGCTCCATTTTTGTTTATTTGTATGGTATGAAATACTTATGAATTACTACCTCTTAATCGAAAGTAGTGGCGGATTCAGAGCGCAACTTATGAGTTTACATAACGCAATAGGTTTTATGCAGATCCTGCATATATTTAAAAATTTATTAAATATTTATAAATATTTGACTATGAATCAATATTGCTATTGCATATTTGCTCTAGAAATTACCGTAAATTTCAAACTCTAGATTAGCCTCTATTTCAAAGCTAATGTGCTATAACATAATCATGGGGATGAGACTAACAAGACGTGTCACATGTGACATAGTAGTGGGTTTATGGATCTTTTTCGAGATGATATGAATGTTAAGGACTTTGGAATAACAATTCATTGCCTATCTTGATGTAACTATCCAATCGGTCGTTTTGAGTATTACAGGCCCGTTTCCCCATTTACTACTCAATTTATGCTTCACAGTCGTTTTAAGACTTACCGGGTTAGTTGGTTCGGGTCCGGAAGGAATTCGGAGTGAAATGAAACACTTAGTCTCATAATTAAAAAATTAAGTTAGAAAAGTGGACCGGATATGGACCTATATATAAACGACCTCGAATTCGAATTCTGATAATTTCAATAGCCCCGTATGGTGATTTTGGATTTAGGAGCGTGTCCGAAAGAATTTTTAGAGGTCCATAGAGGAATTAGACTTGAAATGCCGAAAGTTGAATTTTTGAGAAGTTTAACCGATGGGTTGACTTTTTGATATCGGAGTCGAAATCCGATTTTGAAAATTTTAATAGGTATGTTATATCATTTATGACTTGTGTGCAAAATTTGAGGTCAATCGGACGTGATTTGATAGGTTTCGGCGTTATTTGTAGAAATTAAAAATTTTAAAGTTCAATAGGCTTGAATTGGGGTGTAATTCATAATTTTAGCGTTGTTTGAGGTGATTTGAGGATTGGACTAAGTTCGTATGATATTTTAGGACTTGTTGGTATATTTGGTTGAGGTCCCGATGGCCTCGGGTGAGTTTCGGATGGTTAACGGATCAAAAATATTGAACTACAACAGCTGCTGCAATTTCCTTTTGTTGGAAATTTCTTCTGCCAGATTCGAGCCTAGAAATCTCTCAAAATCAAGCCCAGAATCCATCAGAATCGAGCCAAGATCGAGCCCAGGGTCGAGGGCCACGATCGAGCCCAGGGTCAAGGGCCACGGTCGAAGGCAGGGTCAAAGCCACGATCGAGGCCCAGGATCAAGGGCCAGGATCGAAGGCCAAGATCGAGGCAGATCCGAGGTTGTCTTGGTAGAATTATAAAAATAGGGACTTCGTCCCATTCGCCATTTTTGATAAATTGGAGCTTGAATAGAGGAGATTTTTGATATATTTTTAAAGAAAACTTGAGGTAAGTCCCTTGTGATCATTTCTACTCCATAATATTGAATTATTATCGAATAATCCGACTAGATTACATGATTTTGAGGTGTAAATCGGAGATTGGAACTTAGAAATTTGGAAATAAGATTTGTAGATTTGAGGGTCGAGTTGAGGTCAGAATTTGGTAAAATTGGTATGGGTAGACTCGTGGTTGAATAGACTTTCAGATTTTATAACTTTTGTCGAGTTCCGAGACGTGGGCCCCACAAACGATTTTTGAGCTAAAATTCGGATTTTTATGAAAAATTAGCATTTTCTTATGGAATTAATTCCAATAAATTTTATTGATTGAAAAGAATTATTTGTGACTAGATTCGAGGCATTTAGCGGCCGATTTGCGAGGCAAAGGCATAGCAGAGTAAAGAATTTCACGCTCTGAGGTAAGTAACAGTTTTAAATCTGGTTCTGAAGGTATTAAACCCCGAATTTTGGTATCATGTGATTATTTTGGAGGTGACGCACATGCTAGGTGATAGGCGTGTGGGCGTGCACCGAGGAGATTGTGACTTGGTCCGTCCCGAAAAACTGTAAAGTTAAAATAATTTGTTGTTAGCTATATGCTCTCTATGTGTTGATAAACTTTGACCGTAAAACATGTTAGAAATCATACTTAGGCTATGTGATAGTACTGTTGGGACCCACAGAGGTCGCGTACTTGTTGAATTGCCTGCTAAATGCTATATGTACTCAGCCTCAGCTTTTACTTGCACATTTTATCTCACTCTGTGTTGTTATTATTGATACATCATATCTTTGTTGTTTGGGCTGATTTCATGATTATTAAGAGCCCGAGAGACTGAAGAGATTTATGACTGAGCGAGGCCAAGGGCCTGATTGTGAGATATTGATACTATAGCACGTGAGTTGGCCGTGAAGATCCTTATATTATACTATAGCATGTGAGTTGGTCGTGCAACACGTGAGTTAGCCGTGCAACACGTGAGTTGGCCGTGCGGATCCTTATATTATACTATAGCACGTGAGTTGACCGTGCGGATCCAGATAGTTATATTATGGCACGTGAGTTGTCCGTACAATACGTGAGTTGTCCGTGCATATTATAGCGCTTGGGCTATAGGAGTCCCTCCTGAGTCTATACACCCCCAGTGAGCGCGGGTACCCATTGGGAGTGAGTGATGAGGGTTGGGAGCCCAGTGAGTGATGAGGGTTGAGAGCCCAGTGAGTGATTGTTGTCCTCAGAGGTTGTACTTGATTTTCATTTGTTATTGCACTTAATTGCTATCTGTCATTATTGTGAAATCTCTGAAAGATTTTTTATCTACGGATTACATGAACAGGAACTGTATAGAAATTGATTTGACATTAAACTGCCAATTTGATAGCATATCTATTCTTTGCTGGAATTACTGGAAATGAACCATAACTGTGTAGTTCGTTTCTATCTTCAGTTCCTTATTTATTATTGTTACTTGCTAAGTTGGTTGTACTCATACTACACCCTGCACTTCGTGTGCAGATTCAGGTATTCCCGGACATAGAGGGTGTTGATCCTTTCGCGCAGTTGATTTTCAGGAGATTTTGAGGTAGTTCCCGTGTTCCGCAGAACTTGTCTCTCCTTCTCTATCTCCTTGTTTACTGTATTTGGTCTCAAACTATTATATACCATATTTTTCAGACTTGCATTCATATTAGATACACATGTACTAAGTGACACCGAATTTTGGGAGTATTTATATTTGTACTTGTGAGATTTCCTTCCGCTGAAATTAATCATTATGTTTTCGTATTTAAAAGATATGTGGTTTATTGAGATTGTCGGCTTGCCTAGTATTGAGATAGGCGCCATCACGACGGGCTAGATTTTGGGTCGTGACACTTGTACCCAAGGTCGTTTGGTACGAGGGATAAGGTGGGATAAGATGTGAGATTAAATTTATTCGGTTGACAGTATAAATTTATCCTAGTATTATAATCTCGGAATTATAATTCCGAGATAATTTAATTCGCGTACCAAACGATCCCCAAGTCTTCAAGTTGGGAAGTCGATTGTACTGGTATAACCGAGGAGGATTAAGTTAGTGTTTGGATATATATATTTGGTTGAAACTTAAAAAATTAAAGGTATGTTGAAAAGTAATTTTTGAAAGTTTAAATTGTGTTTACACGTGTTGTAGTTTTGTAAATGGAAGATTTTTTTTTACCTAATTTTTGAAACTTGGATTTTTTTTTTATTGATCAAATTTTATGAACAAATAATATTTTTTACTTGTTTTGTTAAAAAATAGGGAAAATATATGTCCAAACGAGCGCACGCTCAAGCCCCGTCTCATTCTGTCTCCGCACTCTCCGCTTACCGCTTGTTTACTCTCTCTTTCTCTTTTCTTTAAGACAAAAGCACAAAACAAAAAACAACAAATCAACAAATGCCATCTACTTCAATGTCGGGAACCATTTAACTAATGGTCCAGATCCTTCCACTTTTCACAATTTCCTTGGCTACACAATAACAATAATAATTAAATAAAAAAAGAGTAGTATGATGCATAAAGTAATCACGCAGAATCCGAAGAGGGATCGGACATATAATATAGAGAGCCTACCCTAACACAAATTAATGTTTGACAAGAGTGGATTATTCTAGTGGAGAACACCCTCCACTTCCAACTAAGAAATTGTGAGTTCGAGTCAACCCAAGAATAATATGAGGAGTTTTTGAAGAGAGATAATCGAGTATTTATCGAAATCAGCCTCTCAATCTCAGGATAGAGATAATGTATGCATATAAACTACTTGCCCTACACCACACTAGTAGAAGTATAATGGTTTGTTGTGTAACACGACGAATCCGTAACCCACAGGTGATAGAGACAATTTCACAATGACCTAAGACCACTCAGGGAAAGATACAGCCTCTAATTGGCCCACGTGTTGATCATCCACCACATCTCATTTTAAAAAAAATAAAGAAAAAGTGAGAAAATGCAGTTTAAAAAGAGAGAGACACTTGTCGACTCTACCAAGCCTTAAAGCTAGCGAAAGAAGAAGGGATCGACACGCTTGCTCTATTTCTCTCTCTTTCCTTCTGTCAAAAAAAGGTAAATTTCTGTTTCTTACTGTTATTTTTCTCTTCATTTTTTCACGTTCTTCTTTTGTCTGTTTCTGCTAAGAACAAGCTTAATAAAAATTAAAAGCTACTTCTTCATTATTTCTGATTTTGATTAATTTCTTATACTAGAATGTTTTTGTAGTAATTGGGTGTTCTTATCTCTTTTGCTGGGCGTCTCCTGAAGTTCCTTTTTTTTTGGGTTTTAAATGAGCTTGCTTTTTCACATATTAATAAAGTTCAAAACTATTTCTAGATTATTTTCTGATTTTGATTAAAATTTTAAACTAGAATGCTCTTGTAGTAATTGGGTATTCTTGACAAAAAGTTAGCTCATTTTTGGATTTAAATGAGCTTGCTTTTTCACATATTCTATTGTTTGTTTTGCTAAGAATTACCTAATAAAGATCAAACATTTTTTTCTTGATCTTGTTTTGATTTTGATTTGTTTTTCAGATTATAGAGGTGTTGTAGTAATGGGTATTCGTTTTTGGGCATTTCTTCAAAATTGTTTTTGGCTCATTTTTGGATTTTTTACATCTTTTGTCTTTGTTTGCTAATATTCTTTTGTCTGATACTGCTAACAGCAATCCTAATAAAGATCAAGCCTTTTTACTTTTGAAAAAATAACAATAAAGATCAAACCTTTTGCTCGATTATCTTTTGGTTTTGATTTGTTTTTGAAATTTAGAACGACGTACTACTGTAGTTAGTATTATTAATTTCACTGATTGAGTTTTTCTTTTTGGATTCAAAATGAGTTTGAAGAAGGCTTATAAATCAAAATTCTTGGTTGTGATAATATATATGCTGTTTGTTTTAATTATGGAGTGTTTTTCATTTATAGCTGATATTGGATGAATGAGTTTGAGATTGAAGTTGATTCTTTAATCAACTTTTGACCTTGAACCGTGATCTGTACATATAGCTCTATTTTCTTTACTGCTACTTTTCAGTTTTTTCAAAGCTATAGTGAAGTAAGAATATAAAGGTTGCATCTTTCTTTGTTTTACTTCAATTTGGCAATGGATTTTGTGTTTGAATTTGGATTTCTAATAACTCCATATAAAGCTTTGATAATGAAACATAAGTCTCAATATTTTGGTTTTCTTATTATCTTGTTGTTATTACTTTGTTGCTACTACTTTCTTTTCATCTTTCCTTGAGTTGGAGTCTATCGAAAATAGCTCTAAACTCAAGGTAGGGTAACGTCTGCGTACACACTGTCCTCTCCAGATTACATGTGAGGATTATACTGGTTTTTTTTTGTTGTTGTTGTTGTAAGTCTTGAAATTTTGGGAGATTTGCGCCATTCAAATCTAATAATGTTGATAAGTAATGTTGTTATTACTGAACTTTTGATCAGATTTCAGATCTTACATGAACTTCAAGAACTTTGCTGACACGCCACAGACAGAGAGCAACAGTGGGATGTCGATGGGAAGTGGTAATTTTCCTTTGGCAAGACAATATTCCGTATACTCGTTAACTTTTGATGAGCTCCAGAGTACTTGTGGACTTGGAAAAGATCTCGGATCAATGAATTTGGAGGACTTGTTGAAGAACATTTGGACAGCTGAAGAGTCTCAAGTTGTAGCATCTTCTGCTGGTGTTGGAAATTTGCAAAGAGAAGGTTCTTTAACACTACCTCGGACGCTTAGTCAGAAAACTGTAGATGAATTGTGGAGAGATTTCCAGAAAGAAACAACAGTTAGTTCTAAAGATGTAAGTGGTACGGAATGGCCAAATCTTGGACAGAGTCAATCTACATTGGGTGAAATGACATTGGAGGAGTTTTTGGTTAGAGCAGGAGTGGTCCGAGAAGATATGCAACCAACTGGAAGCACGAATGATGTTAGGTTTACCGGTGGTATAAGTCAACCTAGTACTAACAACAATGGTCTGAATATAGCTTTTCAGCAACCTACTCAAAATCCTGGACTGTTCAGTAATCAATTTGAAGAGAAAAACATGTTGAATGTGGTTAGTGCCACATCTTCACAACAAAAACCGAATGTGGCCTTTGCATCTCCTATGCAATTAGGGAAGAATGGCCAACTGGCTAGCACGGCTGCTAGGGAACCTGTTGTCAGCATGTTGAGTCCTTCTGTAAATACTAGTACTATTGTTCAAGGCAGTGTTATGCAGGGTGGTGTTAAAGGCTTGGCCGGATTGCATAATGGAGTTGCACTAGCAAAACGAGGATCGCCTGGAAATCAACTGTCACGGGACATGATTGCTAAGAAGGATCAGGATACATCATCTCTTTCACCTTCACCTTATGCATTTGGTGAAGGCGGAAGAGGGAGGAGATCATGCAATTCTTTGGAAAAAGTTGTGGAAAGAAGACGTAAGAGGATGATTAAGAACAGAGAATCCGCAGCTAGATCAAGGGCTCGGAAGCAGGTGAACTCATATGTTGATATTCTATATGTTGAGTTACTTCAAATTATCTTTTTGTTTGTGCTGTTGTACAATGAAACTAACTCGTGCAGCTGATGGAAACATCCATTGGTAGTTCAGCATTCAACAATTTTCATGTCAAGAAGATAATCATAACATTTCCCCGGAAAAATGTGAATAATAAAGAACTTGACAAAGGGATTCATTATCTATTAACATTATGAAGCAAGTAAGTTTGCAGGTTGACTTGTGGGAAGTGCATATGCTCTTCACTAAAGCTTTAGAATCTTTAATCTTAAATATAACTGGTGGAACTTTGGGACTGAGGGAGATATTGGTAGAATCGTGTTTATACATTTAGGTTTTGAATGAATTAACTCTGTAATGACACTTCGATATGACAGGCGTACACTCTAGAGTTGGAAGCTGAGGTGGAGAAGCTTAAAGAAATAAACGAAGAGTTGCAGAAAAAACAGGTATATTGACAATTGTTCAAATTCACAGCACTACTACAAGAAAGTTACTGTAATAACTGCTGTTTTTTCAATGTTTCGTGTAGGCTGAATTTATCGAGATGCAGAAAGATCAGGTACTAACCTCTTTTACAACTACATGTACCTCTTGCTGGATTCGATAACTACCTACCTTTCCTGCTTAATTATGGACTAGATACAGCAATCGTAAGTTAAACAAATATGAACCATAGGGTAACAACAACAACAACAAACCCAGTGTAGTTTTACAAGTGGGGTTTGGGGAGGGTAGTGCGTACGCAGACCTTACCCCTACCTTTAAGAAGGCAGAAAGATTGTTTCCCGTAGACCCTCGGCTCAGGAAAGATAAAAGAAAGGGGCAACAACAAGCAAACCAATCGGAAAACCAAAGTGAAAATACCAGAAAAGCACTAAGTAATGCAATCAATGAACCATAGGGTAAGCTAGTGAAATGAATCCTATAGTACATAACTTAACAGTCAATCATGTTACCTGAGTTGAATGGCGTGATCATACATTCTTGTGAAAATGCATCACCTGTTAAGATGTCACAATTTTAAAAGTGAATGTGCGTTCTATGCGACGGAGTGAGAGTGATGCATGTGATTAGTTAAAACTTGATTGCCTGTTTGAATGCCCCTGTCATCTTGTTAACTATTCTGTTCTATCAAATCGCAGTTAATGGAAAAGATGAATATGCCGTGGGGAAATAAGTTAAGATGCTTGAGAAGGACACTAACAGGACCTTGGTAGACCTCCAGCGGTGCCAAATCCAGTGTACAACCTCAGAAAAATAGTTAGATCCACGGAAGGAGTTATAATATGTGATATTATGATCTGATTCAGATCTTATTTCATCATATTGTTGATAGCTATATGTATATATATAAGTGATTGTGGCTTGTCCTACTGTATGTATTATTGTGTAAATGAGCTTCTTGCATAAAGTTTCTGCTTTTTGTTTGAATTACATTAGATGCAAGGTGCAAAACAGAATGTAGTTAGATTATCACATGAACCAGGTAATTAACATATCTGGGATACCCAATCCCTCTACTGAAGTAAAGATATAACACAAGGATAAAAGTCTTTCTGGAACATTACATTTTCTTGTTTTCCATGTACAATCAAACCTTCTCTAATATTCTTTTAGAGAACATATAAAATAAGATAACATGAAAAAGTAAAACTTGTAACATCACCTCAGTTTTTCTGCATTATATATCACTTTGTAGCAAGAAGGGATACCCAATCCCTCTTCTCCTAGAAGGAAATATGACAAAGAGAAGACTAATAACAAATCCAATCACCAATGGAACAGTATTTATGACCTTTCTTGGAACAACAAAATGATAACAGTGAAGCACATCATTGTGTGATGCTGCAAAGGTAAGGAAAGCAATCAATGAAAGTGATGCATGAAAAATATCAGACCATCTAAGTCTATAATCTCTTGGCACACAAGGCTTAATCCTTCTTCCATTGAAAGTCCAAATGCCACTGAATGTTGCCACCCCATAGTGTAGTCTCCCTCTTGCTGATTTAAAGCTGTCAGTGAAAGAGAAAAACACGCAAGAAATAGCCGATAGGATCAAGAAAATCCCTGTTATATATTGCTCAAACTTGTTGCATTGGCCATCACTGGTTAGTATGGGTGCAAAAATGGTGAAGGCAAGGATTGTGACAGTGGGTAAGAGAACGTTGAGGCGAGCCGTACCACTTAGGATTGTGTTGATGATGAAAATGAAGTTGGAATCCTTTTCTTCTTCATCATAATCTGGGAGATAGAAGTCATTCTCAGGTTCATCTATTTCAACCAAATGTTGGTACATATTGTTGTTGTTCTCCATCTTCAATTGGTGGGGTTGTTAAAATCTGAAGGTAGTCTCAACATTATATCAAAAGCTTATCTTAGATAATGGTCTTGAATAACTAACTTGTGTAAAAGGAAAAGGAAAAAGACAGAATGGTGTTGAAAGAGGTTCTTGCTGAGATTTAAGGAAAAAGCTTATTCCATTTCTTCTCATTGTTTACTTCCTTTAGATCAAACTCTAGGAAAGGTATCACTAAGGGGTGAAGCTTCTTTTTGTTGTAGGGGAGAACAAGAATCAACGTGGTTTCTCTTCTTTTGGGTTATACTTACTCTGTCCCTTTTTAATTGTCGTTTCAGCTTTTTTCGCGTCCCTTAAGGAAATGATAAATACTCCCTCCGTTCCAATTTATGTGAACCTGTTTGACTAAGTACGGAGTATAAGAAAAAATGAAGACTTTTTGAATTTGTGGTCCTAAACAAGTCAAAAAGGGGCCCAGAATATTTGTGTGGTTATAAAAGGTTCTCATTAAAGTTAGAATTGTAAATTTAAGCTAAATTGTTACCAAATTTAGAAAGGGGTCATTCTTTTTGGAACGGACCAAAAAGAAAATAGGTTCACATAAACTGGAACAGAGGGAGTACAAGGTATAATTTACAAAGTATTAAATAATTAACAAATATAGTCATAAATTCGTAAAGCTTCAACAAAAAATTAATTGGCAAGGAAATGTACGCAAGCGCCCGTGGCCTAATGGATAAGGCGTCTGACTTCTAATCAGGCGATTGTGGGTTCGAGTCCCACCGGGCGTGTTGGATTACTTTTTCCTAGTTATTTTTTGGTTTAATGTTGCCAAGCAAATCCTTTGTCTTAATTTTGTTAACAATTGTTAGTTGAGAGTTAACTTGGAAACTGTATTACAGCTGACTGAGACAGTCTTAATTTAAGGTGTTGGATTCACTATTAAAAGCTGATTGAGTTGGCTTTTATCCTTCTAGTATAATTTACCATACATCAGTTTATTTACAAATGCGTGATCTATGCTAGGTTGTTTTCTCTTGTTTTTGATTTATAAGTTTTCAACGCAGTTGCACACTTTTAGGCATGATCAAGAGCCCGTTTAGATCGTCTTTAAAAAAAAAAAATGACTTTTAAGCCGAAAAGCAATAAATTGGGGTTGCTTTTGACTTGTTTTAAGCAATTTTTTTAACTTATTTAAAACATTTTTTAATTTTGCCAAACACTGAAAATAGCTAAAAAGAACTTAAAAGCTGATTTGACCGGCTTAAAAACCAATCCAAACACCCTCGAAATCGTTCAATAGGACTCGAGACTCCTAATCTATCGCATTACAATCCCACAACAAATCAAGAAATGAGTAATACCACCGAAGCCAATCTTTGTTCTAAGTGATGTATTAATCCAAGAAAATGTCCGTAACATGAATAAAGGATGGTGCACAAATAATTCCCTCAACACAGACAAATCTTTGTACTTACAACCCCTCCAGATCCCTCATGAGCAGGGCTCCAGGTGACAAAAGTATAGTTGACAAGAACCTCCCTTATTTTCTTTTTTCGTATTGTCGTCTTCTTTACTTGGGCAGGAGAGGGTATAGATGAAAGATGAAAAAATAGTTGTGTGAGGTTATTCTTTCAAGTTTTCAACGCAGTCGTCTTACATATGGGACAGATATTCTTCAGCAATAACCACTGCTTAATGCAATTAGTGTGGAATTCATGCCCACAATCCAACATGCCAATGATATCTCCATCTGTGTATTCCTCCTGATTAACAGAACAAGAAATAGAACAAACTTTAGCTAACAAATCTGCCAAAAAGTAATACTATCAGGTATGTAAAAACATTAGATAAGATTCTTACCTGACATATACAGCACGGCTCCAAGTTTGATGAGGACCGTCCATATACAGACTCGTGCTTCCGCTGTTTCATATGGACCGAAATGGTTTCTTCACTCAAGCCTGTGTTTACATTTCCTATACGTTCTTCCAATGCCAATAACTCCTAATATAGACGAAGCAATCAGTGAGACCCGCATCTCAAAATTTAGTGACAGCAAAAATGAAATACATTACCTCATAGGACATGTTATCAACATCGAGCCTCAAGTCTCTATGCCTATCATGGAACTCAGCAGCTCCATTGATAAAAGGATCAACCAACATATAATCCTAAGAAACGAAAGAAATGCGAAAAATTTACATAAGAAATGTCCACAAAAGTCACCAAAAACTACATTTACTAATAAGAAATCAACACATAAAGTGGCCAAGCAAAATTGAGTTGTTCTATTGGGACTCATTAACATGTTCATCAGTTGGGTCCAAGTAATGAGCACATTTATGATGTAGGGTTGGAATTAGACTGTCCAATGAAAATTGTTCTTATAACAACAACACAAGAAGTTAGAAGCTTCATGATAAAAAACCAGTTGAAATTTGATATTGTCACGAAGACAAACAAAATAACTGGCTCCCAACACTTAAAACCTCGTGGTAGGACAATCGAAAAAATAAAGTTGGAATACTACAAGATGAAAATGCGCACAATATTATCCATCCAAATTGCAATCAGACAACTAAAACTAACCCTATCAAAAATTTAAAAAGAAGAAAAATCAGGTAAATAGTCCTTTTCCCCGATCCAGGCAATCATGTTTACCATGCAAGGCAATATAATTTCCCTACTTTTCTTACTAAGCTAACATAGCGCAGCTTACAAAAGTATCAGGATAATGCAAATATTTTCAAGTTTACAGGGATCTACAGAAGAATTAAAAGTATATCTATTACAATATATAAATAACAAGCTGCAACTCATTTCTGCTACTTTATTCAATAGATTATTTAAAGGATTGAAATAAAACCTCTGATCGAAAGTTTTCGACCCTCCGCATGGCATTCAGGACTTGACGAATCTGTTGGACATAAGTAGGCAAGATTAATCAGCATTGACAATGTCTCCAATCCAGAAGAAAATTATTGGCGGGTGTAAAGTATCTCATAATCAAGACACATATAAACAACAAACAAAGCAGCTGCATAAGTGATCAAGAAAGTAAACAGAAATATCCTTCTACGACACCATTATAAGATCCCATGATGCTGATTGTCGAGGAAACTTACTCTTTGCATGTGTTCTTAGAATATGTACATTTTGGGGCCAGCATAAAATCCCCCAATCCTAAATAATATGAGTGAACCAGATCGGAGAAAAATAACCGAATATCCAACTGGAAATAAAGCTATTAACCAAAGCAATAAAAAAGAGTTGTCTTGAGGAGGACAAAATAGCAAATGAGAGCAAATATCTTTACATTCACCATGCCAGATACAAGACAGCAAAGTTCAGATACCTACACGGACAGTCAAAATACAACAGCTTTAGATATTATTGTGAAAAGTAAACCCCATACCAGCCTGTGTCGACCCTCAACGTCAGCAGCTAAAGCACGCCAACCATCCACATCATCACCTCGATCAACCATCAAACTTGCTCTACGACGTGGCTGACGGTTACCACGGCTACTAGATCGGGAGGACATCACTGGATCCTCTGAGGAAGGAGCCGAAGGCAGCAGAGAAAAATGACCTCTCTGGCTTCCAGACTCAGGCTCAACTGGTGGGAAGAGAATCCAAGGAGCAAATTCTGGTAATGTATGATGGCTGGTAGTTGCTGAGTTCTGATTAGTCCACGCAGTATGAGCATTGTGTCCGCTTGGACCAGGACCAACTGCAGAACTAGGACTGTTTCTAGAAGAGCTTGCATTTGCAGTAGCTAAGCTCCAGTTTGTGGGGTCAAGTACCATATTTCTCGTCTCAGGAACAGGAAAAAATGGATGGGAGTCTCCACTATTTCTGATAGTACTGAAGTTAGCTTCATCCCCCGATGCAACACATCTATCTCTAGAAATCACTGATGAACTACCACCTCGTGAACTAGGAGATACATCCCATGGAGGTGAGTGCAAGCCTCTTGAAGGACCAGGAGCATGCATCATGTGAGACTGGCTTCCCAGGTTACCTGAATTCATTGGCAGTGAAAATGGCTGTCTCGAGTCCAAAGATCTAGTTACTGAGGCAGGTCCAGGTCGAACATGGGCGGGGCTGACACTAGAATGCCCTGCAGTAGTCCCAATTGGTGGTAAGCCAAATGTAGTGTGATCCTGATTCGCAGGATTTGCTCTAACACAAAAATTTCTTGCAGAGCTTTCTGCAACTCCACCAGCACTTAAAGGAGGAAATATATCAGAAGCAGATATACTTGTACCAACCCCATTTCTTGGATTAAGATTTTCCAGATAACCAGCATTCTGCATATTTGCAGCAGGGGATGATATGTTTAAGCTGCTAGAAGCATTATAATGACTAGGATGGTTATCCTGTACAATGTTCTCATGTCCTGCATTGGAGCTTGAACTTCCACCTATAAAAGGCTGTCCCGAGCTGCCTTCAAGGACCTTGCGCTTGCAGGATAAACCCCAATTATCCATAGACGAACCTGATATATTACTGGTCCCTGCCAAATAACCAGAACTACCTGAAGAGGTACCACTGTCATCAGATGCACCAAAAGCCGGAGGACACTCCGCTTCTGACCTGTCAGATTTGTAAACAATTGAAGGTACACTTGTTCGCATCACCATCCGACCATCATCGTTATTGTATCTACCACTTAAATTAGCATTTCCTGTACTATGATCCGAGGCAAGGCTTGATGATATACTAGGAGGCCTGCCCATAAGACGATTGCCACCATAACCACGTGTAGGAAAGACATTAGAAGGTTCCAATTGCCATTCGGACCTTGAATTTGTCATAGCATAATCATTAGATGAAGAAGGCCAACCTTGTCCTCTTTTTAAGTCACTGCCACGTATGCGGTCATGCAAATTAGCGGTGGAGCTGGACTCACCTTGATTCCAGTTACTAAAACTTTGAGCATTATAGTTAACACCATTAGCATAACTAGGATTTCCTCCAGCGGAAGGAAGCATGGAATTTGACAATCGATTC